TTTGGATCGTTAGCTGTCATGCATTTATGTCATATACTGGTATGCATGCATTTTAACATCCAACATTATGCATACTGAAGCATTTTTATCATCACATAATGCATTTATATCATTTGCATTATTATATTCAGTCGACCATGTATCATTATATTCAAGCAAGCATGTATTATTATATTCATTTAAGCATATGTGTACGATTCATAATATATTCATTTCATAACAGTCACGTAATTACCACCAATCATCCAACATTCAAAATATGACGCAGTGCGGTCAGAACCATCACATCGTAATTGAATTAGACAAAATTTATGGTACACGTTATGTAGCTAGCAACTAGTGCACCCAGTTTTTTTTTCACATTGTATTATAAATAAATATAAAATGTGAAAAAAAAATCTGTCCAAATCGATCGTAAAGGGTTGCTTCGCAACCCAAAAAAAAACAAGAGGCGACTAAGTCGACCTAGGGTTGCGAAGCGTTTTACATAAATTACATAAGTTATATAACTTTGAGAAATGTAGTATAAAACTAAATTGCAGTTTGTCATTTTGTTGTGAGTTTCCTAAACCGTCAACAGCAGGAATCGAACTCAAAATCTTTCGTTTCCCTGCTGAAATCCAACCGACTGCGCAAACTTTGCTGTCTTTCACACGCTACCGAATGTACATATCCTATGACAACGCGACGAATCTCACGCCACCTTAGGGTTTGGTCGTTCCTTTTTTCTCTCCCTCCCTCTCGCCAGTCAAATGCTCCCGCTAGTCACGCTACTCCACCTGCTAGTGCTAAGGTAAGATCACCAAGTGATCACGAATAAGACTAACCTTCTTAATATCTTATCATAATCGATTACTCTAGAGTTGGTCGTTCTTTGAGGATGCACGTTGTTCATCTTCAGGTTCTAGACTTGTTGTACAGATTTAAGCTTTAGGTCGTTGGTAAGGCTGCATGTGTTCTTCAGCTTCGCATCATCCCTTTCCTCTCTTGCACCCTTATTTTGTCGAAATTGAGTATGTCCATTGATGTACTTACCACCTTACCTCTTATGGTCTTCTTATGTAGATTTGAACGTCTAACATTCTTTCCCTTAGTATACAAATAGTTCTTAACCATTTTCACTGAGAAAGAGATTGTTCTTACTTTGTGCTTATTGCCACCACCCCATTCTTATCTTCTCCATTTTGTTTCTGAGTTTTATCTACCATTGCCGTTCAGTTTTTATTCCATTCAGTCATGAGCTTCTGATTCAATGGGCGTTCTCTTTCAACTATGCACAATCATATTGTAGCTTGGTGAGTTCGAACTTTTCTAAAAATTCCATCACATCTAAATCGTCTGCATGCATCCATATCCATAGCTGAGTCTCACGTGCGTTCGATCAATCTCCTTTCTTTTTCTTTCGTTCTCATTTGTTTCTCTTATCCGTTCATCTTTCCGTTTCGATCTTAACGTTAACCTTATTCGCTAGCCGCAAACTTCATTTTGTTTCCGTTCTGTTTAATCTTGTTTTCTTTCCACTCTATTTTGTCTTGTTTCTCTGAGCCTTTCGATTTCGCGTAACACCTCTTTCCTATGCATTGTTTAGCGTGTTCGTTCTCCGATTGTCGTATTTGTGCTCCATTTGACTAGTTTTTTTTTGTTGGAAATTGATATTTATTGGATGTATTGAATCGGTTCAGATTTCTATGCATTTTTCTGGTATGTAACTTATTCCATTTGCCCCCCCCCCCCCCCCCCCCCCCCCCCCCCCTCCAGAGTCTTTGCTGTACCATTCGGAAAGTCAAGGCTAATGTGAACGTAGAAATATTTTTGTTTGTATGATTGATGCTATTGTATTGTTATGTTAGATTTCTTCTGGGATTTTCTGGTTTTGTCTGGATTTTTTTGTGTGCATATGGGTATGTGTGTCTGTATGTATGTTATTCAGTGTGTGCACATGTCCATATGCATCTATCATTGCATCAACAATGCGCATCTGTGGATTTAAAAAAAAAATATCAGCCTGTCAATTTCGAGAAGGTTCTTTGCCCACTCAGTGAGTGTGTTCACTTGAACTGGATTTGATGGATCTTGATCATTTTTTTAGTTTACACAGATTGTGTTGTTTCATGTAACAGTTGGATGATTCAGGAACTATGCTATTGAGCTCCCCCCCATGCTAGGCAGGGGATGTGGTAGCATAAGGCCTGGGTCAATTAACTATTACGCATTCTTATCATGCTATGCACTCATTTCATTCCACTTATACAAAAACATAAACTTTATTTGCCACACTAGCATATACATTATATTTATTCATTTTGCATTTAATATTTATTTCAGCATATCCATCATTATACTTCATCTATGCAAAACATCATCTGCATATGCATTACGGGTTATACATTCATGCGTTCACAATAACATCATTTGAGCAACCCATTTACATGTTTCATCCATCCAGTATAGATTCCATCAAATCAAACTAGGAAATGAGAAGGAATGTGGTACGGCATGTGCTAAATTGCGTGGCAAATACCGTACATAGCAGCAGTCAGTTACTTAGCTATAGTTCACTAGATTTTCTTCATCTTATTATTTCTTTAAGTCTAGAGGATGAAAAAAAAAAAAAAAGTGAACATAACGATTGTAATAGGTTGCTTCGCAACCCAAAAACAAATAACATACAATGCATAATCATCAGAGTAAACGAAAAAAATTACTCTGATGTGACAGAGTTGAAAATCTGCCAGACTATTACACTGACATCTAAGAGCTAGGCTCGCCAAACACTCTGGATTTAAGGGTTCGGCCAAAAACGCCTCTGGATTTAAAGCCGGGATCTCAAGTAAAACAATGGTTTTGCAATTGACAGATACCGGCGTTCTGTTATTGGATGGCGACTTGAGAAAGTTGACGATCACGCAGCCACATCCGCGAACAGGCAAAAATTCGTGAACCAAACCACCCCAACCAGGTCGGACCTGAGAGGAGGTTGGGGTGCGACACCCAGACCTCCAAATGCTCGCACTAAAAATTGCACTCCTAAACCGCACAACACACCTCCAAACACATTTTGGTTTAGGTCGAAATGCCCAACTACCCAAAATCCCCCTCGTAATGCGCATAGGCAGGGAGGGGAGAAAGTGGGGTATGTGAGAGGAGCAGGGAGGGGAGACAAGTGGGGCAGATGAGAGGAGCAGGGAGGGGAGAAAGTGGGGTATGTGAGAGGAGCAGGGAGGGGAGACAAGTGGGGCAGATGAGAGGAGCAAGGATGGGAGACAAGTGGGGTATATGAGAGGAGCAGGGAGGGGAGACAAGTGGGGTATATGAGAGGAGCAGGGAGGGGAGACAAGTGGGGTATATGAGAGGAGCAGGGAGGGGAGACAAGTGGGGTATATGAGAGGAGCAGGGAGGGGAGACAAGTGGAGCAGATGAGAGGAGCAGGGAGGGGAGACAAGTAAGGCATATGAGAGGAGCAGGGAGGGGAGACAAGTGGGGTATATGAGAGGAGCAGGGAGGGGAGACAAGTGGGGTATATGAGAGGAGCAGGGAGGGGAGACAAGTGGAGCAGATGAGACGAGCAGGGAGGGGAGACAAGTGGAGCAGATGAGAGGAGCAAGGAGGGGAGACAAGTGGAGCAGATGAGAGGAGCAGGGAGGGGAGACAAGTAAGGCATATGAGAGGAGCAGGGAGGGGAGACAAGTGGGGTATATGAGAGGAGCAAGGAGGGGAGACAAGTGGGGTATATGAGAGGAGCAGGGAGGGGCGACATGTGGGGCAGATGAGAGGAGCAGGGATGGGAGACAAATGGGGTATGTGAGAGGAGCAGGGGGGGGAGGCAGGTGGGGCAGATGAGAGGAGCAGGGATGGGAGACAAGTGGGGTATGTGAGAGGAGCAGGGAGGGGAGACAAGTGGGGCAGATAAGAGGAGCAGGGAGGGGAGACAAGTGGGGTATGTGAGAGGAGCAGGGAGGGGAGACAAGTGGGGTATATGAGAGGAGCAGGGAGGGGAGACAAGTGGAGCAGATGAGAGGAGCAGGGAGGGGAGACAAGTAAGGCATATGAGAGGAGCAGAGAGGGGAGACAAGTGGGGTATATGAGAGGAGAAGGGAGGGGAGACAAGTGGGGTATATGAGAGGAGCAGGGAGGGGCGACAAGTGCGGCAGATGTGAGGAGCAGGGAGGGGAGACAAGTGGGGTATATGAGAGGAGCAGGAAGGGGACACAAGCGGAGCAGATGAGAGGAGCAGGGAGGGGGCAAGTGGGGCAGATGAGAGGAGCAGGGAGGGGAGACAAATGGAATATATGAGAGGAGGCGGGTGGGGAGACAAGTGGGGTATATGAGAGGAGCAGGGAGGGGAGACAAGTGGAGCAGATGAGAGGAGCAGGGAGGGGAGAAAGTGGGGTATGTGAGAGGAGCAGGGAGGGGAGACAAGTGGGGCAGATAAGAGGAGCAGGGAGGGGAGAAAGTGGGGTATGTGAGAGGAGCAGGGAGGGGAGACAAGTGGGGCAGATGAGAGGAGCAGGGATGGGAGACAAGTGGGGTATATGAGAGGAGCAGGGAGGGGAGACAAGTGGGGTATATGAGAGGAGCAGGGGGGGGAGACAAGTGGGGTATATGAGAGGAGCAGGGAGGGGACACAAGTGGAGCAGATGAGAGGACCAAGGAGGGGAGACAAGTGGGGCAGATGAGAGGAGCAAGGAGGGGAGTCAAATGGGGTATATGAGAGGAGGCGGGTGGGGAATCAAGTGGGGTATATGAGAGGAGCAGGGAGGGGAGACAAGTGGAGCAGATGAGAGGACCCACACGGGGAGACAAGTGGGGTATGTGAGAGGAGCAGGGAGGGGAGACAAGTGGGGTATATGAGAGGAGCAGGGATGGGAGACAAGTGGGGCATAGGAGAGGAGAGGGGATGGGAGACATCTAGGGCTGGTGTGATGAGAGACAATCGGGTTTGATAAGAGGAGAACGAAGGACAAACCGGTGAGGATGATGAGAGATGAGGAGAGGGAACACTAGTGAGGGGAGGAATGTGAGCGTGGAGGGGAGGAATGTGAGTGCGGAGGGGAGGAATGTGAGGGCGGAGGGAGGGTAGGGGCGCGGAGGGGAGGAATGTGAGGGCAGAGGGAGGGTAAGGGCGCGGAGGGGAGGAATGTGAGGGCGGAGGGAGGGTAGGGGCGCGGAGGGGAGGAATCATGTGAGCGCAGAGGGGAGGAATATGAGCGCGGATGGTAGGAATGCGAATGCGTAGGGAAAAGGGAGGAATGTGAGCGCGGAGGCGGAGGAATGTGAGCGAGGAGGGGGAGGAATGTGAGTGAGGAGGGGGAGGAATGTGAGTGAGGAGGTGGAGGAATGTGAGTGAGGAGGTGGAGGAATGTGAGCGAGGAGGTGGAGTGGAGGAATGTGAGAGCGGAGGGGAGGAATGTGAGGGCAGAAGGGAGAAATGCGATCGCGGAGGGGAAGAATGTGAGGGCGGAGGGGAGGGTAGGGGCTCGGAGGGGAGGAATATGAGCGCGGAGGGAGAGGAATGTGAGCGAGGAGGGGGAGGAATGTGTGCGCGGAGGGGGAGGGGAGGAATGTGAGCGAGGAGGGGAGGAATGTGAGCGAGGAGGGGGAGGAATGTGAGCGAGGAGGCGGAGGGGAGGAATGTGAGAGCGGAGGGGAGGAATGTGAGAGCGGAGGGGAGGAATGCGAGAACGGAGGGGGAGGAATGTGAGCGCGGATGGGCCGAATGTGAGCGCGGATGGGCCGAATGTGAGCGAGGATGGGCCGAATGTGAGCGCGGATGGGCCGAATGTGAGCGCGGATGGGCCGAATGTGAGCGCGGATGGGCCGAATGTGAGCGCGGATGGGCCGAATGTGAGCGAGGATGGGCCGAATGTGAGCGCGGATGGGCCGAATGTGAGCGCGGATGGGCCGAATGTGAGCGCGGATGGGCCGAATGTGAGCGCGGATGGGCCGAATGTGAGCGCGGATGGGCCGAATGTGAGCGCGGATGGGCCGAATGTGAGCGCGGATGGGCCGAATGTGAGCGCGGATGGGCCGAATGTGAGCGCGGAGGGGAGGAATGCGAACGCGGAGGGGAGGAATGCGAACGCGGAGGGGAGGAATGCTGGCGGATGCGGAGAGGAGGAATGCGAACGCGGAGGGGAGGAATGCTGGCGGATGCGGCAGCTCCCCACTCCAAGGCATGGCGGGCCAACGAGGGGGGACGCGGCGCGGGCACAGGTAACCCGTGGCTATGCAACATTTACACTCCTAAGGCCCCTGTTTGTTCTTCGCGCCTAAATTTTGTACGTCGCATCCATCCGACTGAACGCGGTGAAGACTATCCACTAACTTGCTGTGCCTTACATTGCGCCTTCTATTACGGCGACGAGACCTCATTGCAGGCGTCGCGACGAATGCGGAGGGATTCTACCTACGGTACTATCCTACGCAATGTTGCTTCTCCAATGCGTTATTATGTCGATGTAGGCTTCCGTGAAACGTCTTCGAGTGATTCACGCGCGAGAACAGGATGTGCTGCTGGGGGTGAATGGGTTTGCTGTAGTTACTCCGGCGTGGGATTTCAATCGTTCTCCTCTGCTAGTCATTTCCACATTTTGTCTCGAGTTGTTTGGCTGATGTTTTGCGTTTGACATTGCGGGGCTTTCCGTAGTTGAGGTCGCCTGGGGTCGCAGAATAGGCTTCCAGGGCTGGTTTGGTGAGGTGACCAATCAAAATGCATAACAAACCAACCTGTCACTTCGGTGCAAATAACATAGTAACCAGCCGTCAAGTGTTTTGCAGTTGACAACAATTTCCGGTACTTGAGATCCTGGCTTTAAGGGTGCTCCAAAAAAAAAAAAAGCCCTGCCGGTAGTGCATTTACTAAACGTTCTCATATGGTTGTAAGCAAGATAGGTTCAGGCAACGTTACTGCACATTTCAAGTTAAATGATGAGTACAGTGCTTTGTAGGGCTGGGAAAGAGAGAAAATAGAGAGGGTGGAAGTGCTAGCATGGCTGGAATTATAATTGATTTTTGGAATGGATTGTTGGTGCATTGATTGTACTCATTTCCGTCTGATCACGGTAGCGGGGCATATCGATAATGCACTCATTTCCCCGTATTCCTATCGTCATTACTTCTAGGTTCGTTTCGTAACTATCTGGGATGGTCGATGCGAGTCGCTTGACCGAACGGTCAACGCGGTCATGGCGGCCATTCCCATGGGCTCCTCCAAGCGCTCCTGCCGTTTACCGCAGGAGCAGTTTCCGAGGCCCGCGCTTCCCGAAGGTTGTCCGCGGCATTAGTAGAGAGTCCCGCCGTTTTCCCATGGGTTGCCAGCATCGCTCCCGCCGCTTCCCGAAGCGCCATCATGCGCAATTCACGCCGCTCGCCGCGCCCTTCCTCGTGGCAGTTGCCGTCTTTGCGATCATCTCGGACGTACGATGGCCTGGGACGGATCATCCGACGGCTGTGATGCGCGCACGGGCGGAGTTAATCTCCGGCATGTCTCTTCCGGACGGAGGCCTCGAGCACGCCATGTCGCTTCTACGGGTGAGCTTGCTGCTAAGGCGCCTCGAAGATAGTTTGCTGCTCACATGCATGCGCTATGAATCTTGAGTACGCCATGTAGCTTCTACGGGTGGGCCCTCAGACCTCGTCTCTTCTCCCCCTTTTCCCCCTTTTGCCCCCTTCCCCCTTCCCCCCCACTTCTCCCCCCTCTCCTTCCCCTCCCCACGTCCGTGTAATTCTTTTCTCGCGCATTCCTCCCCGTCTCGACCTCCGTGTCACACTCTCTTGCTCCAAGCAGCTCGCGCTCTCGCTCTCGTACACCCATTCACTTCTTTCTCGCCTCCCATATCCCATCTGCTCTCCTCCCCCTTCCGTTTCCCCCCTCTCCCCTCCCCCCTCCTTCCCTTCCCGCCCTCCTGCCCCTCTCCCGTGCCCCATTTCCCCTGGATTCCCCCATTTCCTTTCCTCCCCCTTCCCCCAACGTTCCCCCTGCGCCAGACCTGGGAAACCTTATATGGTCTGTCCGCGGACTCCCCCCTTCCGCCCTCCGCCATCTCGCTTCCGCCCAGCATCCCCCCTCCCCCGCACCTGGAGCCCTGCTCCGCGCGCACAGCCATCCGCCAGGCTGCTGAGCGCAGGGGGGAGGGCGGGGAGCTTCCCCCATGGGCGCAGGGTAATGCTGCATGCGGAAATGTCCCCCAACCGCCCTGGGTGAGTGCATGCTTGGGGGGGTTGGTGGTGGCAGGCGGAAGGAAGTGGGGGGGGGGGGTGGAAGAATATTCAGACTTGAATTGGGGTATGTATATGTATTCGTTCAATTCAAACCCCATGCCATTCCATCATGTCAACACACACCTGCCTTTGCTAACACGCCATTCGTTGCCTGGCCATTTGTCCCGCACCCCCCGCTCACCCCATGCCGCTGTGATCAGGTGCGAGGGTCAGATTCATCGAACCTGGCCTCCACTCGGGTGGCTCAGAGGGACATCTGGGCGCACCAGTTCCCCCCACCCTCCCCGCTGCCTGCTCACACTGCTGGCCCCGCTGCTGGTGATGCTGGTGGTGCTGTCGAAGCTGGTAGTGCTGCTGATACGGATGATGCTGCAACAGCTGCTGCTGCTTGTGAGGGGAAGAGGTTTCTGCTGGTACAATGGCCGGATGACACAGAGAGCAGCAACAGCAGCAGCACCACTACCACCACCGGCACCGGCAGCAACAGCAGCAACGCCACCACCAGCGGCAGCAACAGCAGCAGCACCGCTGACGGTGGTGGCAGGCGTTGGTCGTATGAGGCCCTGGCAGGGCAGCTGCACGGCATGAGTGTGGCGCTACGTGTGGCGTTCACTGCCGGTCGTGTTCTCGTGCCCATGCCAGGCTCCTTCCTTCCAGCCCACCACCCGCACTGCCAAGGTAACTCGCACACCCCCCCATCCACCTTGTAGTACGAGCCAACAAAGGCCCTGGCAGGGCAGCTGCACGGCATGAGTGTGGCGCTACGTGTGGCGTTCACTGCCGGTCGTGTTCTCGTGCCCATGCCAGGCTCCTTCCTTCCAGCCCACCACCCGCACTGCCAAGGTAACTCGCACACCCCCCCATCCACCTTGTAGTACGAGCCAACAAAGGCCTGGCAGGGCAACTGCAGGGCATGAGTGTGGCGCTACGTGTGGCGTTCACTGCCGGTCGTGTTCTCGTGCCCATGCCAGGCTCCTTCCTTCCAGCCCACCACCCGCACTGCCAAGGTGCCTCGTCCCACACACCCCTCCATCCACCTTCCCCCTCCTTTTCCTTCCCATACAATGAGAGCCTGAGAGGCAGCAGAGCAGCAGGTGTGTGCATCGCTGCCGGTTCCCGTTCCTCTTCCTGCCTGTCCAATTCTAAGTGCGTCCGTGTTATCCCAATGACGATCTAGAGAGAAGAGCGAAATACAAAACGTTTTCTTTGTGCCCCGGTCCCTCTCTCCCTAGCTCTACCCCCCCTCCCCCCTCTCTCTTTCTGCTCTGTGTCTCTCTCTCACCAGCTCTGAATGCATCAAGATCACTGCACTGCTACTGCCCAGTCTCCCAAGCCTGTGAGGCAGCAGCCATGCAGCACTTCTGAGAATTCTCACAAGTAACTCTTATCTCTGCGTCTCTCCCTCTCACCAGCTCTGAATGCATCAAGATCACTGCACTGTTACTTCTTCCGCCCAGTCTCCCAAGCCTGTGAGGCAGCAGCCATGCAGCACTACACCTCTGCCGGCGCTCCTCCCTGCAAGCCTCTCTCACAGCTCACAGCGCAGCAGCTGGGGACCAACGAGACTGTGATCTGCGCTGTGGCAAGCAGTGATGCCTCGTACCCTGCCTCAGCAAATGCTTCCAGGTTCTCTGCTCCTCCAAATGCTTCATTCCTGCAGCCATTTTGTTCGTTTGTTAGTAATACTAACAAAATGAACAAAGTGCTTGCAAACGATTCCTGGTGCCTTGAGTGCTCTTCTTGATTTTCCATGTGTTTCTTGTGTTCTTCTTAATTTGTGTAACTTGAGCCCTGCAGCCATTTCGGCAGTAGGTCTGACGTGTTGCATTGCAATTCAGCCGTAGCTTCATTTTCCGTGTTTCTTTTCCATTCCCCCTCTCCTCGTATCTCCTCCCTCTCATCCCTCTCCTCCATCTCCTCCCACTGTTGCCCACCATTCCCGCTTCCTTTACCTGCCGCTGCTTCCTCCCGACTTATCCCTGCCGCGCGTCCCTCTATCTGCCACCCATCCCTCCTTCCCTCGTGCGTGGGTAGTGAGAGAGCATGGAGCGAGGCGTACCTGCAGCGGCCTTTCCTGGTGGAGCGTCAAGGGGCACTTCTCAACATCTCAAACCCACAACTGCAGGTTCTCTCCCCCTCCCATTGCCGTTTTCTGCTCGTGCCTATGCCCATGCCCATGCCCATGCCCATGCCCATGCCCATGCTCATGCCCATGCCCATGCCCATGCCCATGCTCATGCCCATGCCCATGCTCATGCCCATGCCTGTGCCAACGCCTAGGCTCTGCACTTTCTCCCCCGCCACCCCATTCCCTCCCTCACTCCCTACTCACTCCCCTCTCACCCCCTCCTTATGACCTCAGGCGCACTGGTGGACAGCCCAGGCTCTGCGCTTCCTCCTGCGCTGGCCCTCCCCCTCCCTCTGCCACGCCCTCAACTGTCACCGCAACACCCCTCTCGGCCCTCACATCGCCCCCCTCTCCTCTCCTCCCGTCCCGACCCTCTGGAACCCCGCCCAAGCCCATGTTCATCTCATGCGCATCTCCCCACCTTCACACTCCCCTTTAGCCCTCAGGCAGGCCCAGTATTGGGGCCCAGGCTCTGTCTTTCCTCCTCCATTCCCCCCTTACTTCTCTCCCCGCAACCCCCCCCCCTCTCCCCTTCAGGCGCACTGGTGGACAGCCCAGGCTCTGCGCTTCCTCCTGCGCTGGCCGTCCCCCGCCCTCTGCCACGCCCTCAACCGCCACCGCAACACCGCTCTGGGTCCGCACATCGCCCCCCTCTCCTCCTCTTTTCTCGCCGAGCAGCGCGCCATCGTGACCTCCCTATTAAAGCCCAAGTCAGAGGCGGACCAGGGGCTGGGGCTCGACCTTCGCAGCGAGGGTAAATTGCTCCGGAAATTGAACCTTTCCGCGCACCGGAATTTGGAGACGGAAGCGTGGCCGAGCCTGGGGTTTTCCGGGTGTTTGCCCCGGAAAAATCAGGGTAAAGCGGTGGAGAAGTCGTCGGCACTGACGGTGTATCAGGGCGTGGGGAGAGAGGCGTACCTGCTGCGACCAATCGTGAGCATACACGTGGCAGAGGAGGGGCAGCGTGGGGGACAGGGGGAGCAAGGGCAGCAGGGGGAGCTGGGACAGGAGCAACAGCAAGGGCAGGCGATACAGGAGCGACAGGAGGGCAAGGAAGAGGGTAACAGTACAAAAGCAGAGACTGGCAGCAGTAGCGGCAGTAGCAGCAGTGATTCACAACTTTCAGTGCCACTTGTGTCTGCTCTGCTGATGTCTTACCAGCTAAGAAGGTGGGACCCAGGCCTCAGATACGTATGGCTGTCCACCGACCAAACAGCAACCACAAAGCTCTCACCAAATCGCCTCTCGCACTTTCCCGATTGGACCTTCCTCTATCCCAAGCAACCCTCCGGCCCCTCCTCTTCCTCTCCGGGATACGACCCCGTGGGTGCGGCTTTTGCTGACCTTCTAGTGGCGTCTGAGAGTGATTTCTTTGTTGGGGATGTCGCGTCAAGGTGGAGTAGGATGGTGTATGAGATCAAGTGCACCAGCGGTCGCCTTTACGCAGGCTTCTTGTCGATCTAACGACAATGATCCAGGAGTTTTTGTACATGTACTACGTATACTGTAAGTTCTCATCGCTAGAAACATCTTTGGTTTGGGGATTATGTTCAATGCCCCAGATGGGTGTACCCCCTAAATGTAATTCCATATAACATTGGGCGTAGTGCGACTGGTAAGGGTTATAAAAAATCTAGCTACCACATATGTGAGCGGACTGTTGTATGTAGAGTTGTTTTTTCTTACGTTACTTCTCCTGTGCTGTTATTTCAACTTACGGTAAAAAGGTATACCGTCTGGCCCCGGATAGTAGCGCATATGCGCTTATAATAAAATCTCGGTTTTTTTAGGGGGCGCTTGTAATCGAGTAACGGCCATAAGCGCATGCGCTTATATGATGACAAACACAGATTTTTACTTCTAGGGTACCAAAATGTACATTTCATTGTTGCCATTTGAACCAAGTCGAACTAATATAGCGTCGCAAAGCAGAATCGCGCGCAAGCGATTCTGCTTCCCGCACACAGAGTCAATGTCACGTCAATCTGCACGCATGCCAGCACAACGTGACTGGACTCGCATCCAGTCAGGTCTTCGAGAGTCAAACTAAGCGAGAATGAGATAGGACTCGCTGCAAATATGAAATTCGTTACCATTTCGAACACGACTCTATAGTAAAAGTGTATGTGCGCTTATAATAAATCAGGGTTTCACAGGGGGGGCGCTTATAATCGAGGATCGGCCATAAGCGCCATGCTCCAGATAGAAGCGCCGGCGCCTTTAATCGGACGGCGCTTATATCCGGGGCCATACGGTACCAGTAACGTAAGAGCTTAAAGTTTACCAGCTTCAGAAAGCGATTACGGTACGTATACACGTGTCACCGTTTCAGCAATTAGATGCATGCATGTTCACATCAAAGAGCGAAGCATGATCAGCTAAGGAGATGGCATGGGGTACCATGTTGAATGGGAGACCTCGAGAGGATGAAGAAGTAAAGGGAGGGTGGAGGAAGAGCTGAGGGCGGTGGAGATTCCGTGCGAGGAGATTCAGTGCGAGGAGATTCAGTGCAAGGAGATTCCGTGCGAGGAGATTCAGTGCGAGGAGATTCAGTGCAAGGAGATTCCGTGCGAGGAGATTCAGTGCAAGGAGATTCCGTGCGAGGAGATTCCGTGCGAGGTATAACTGTACAAGGATGAGGGGGTGTTTCATGGACAACTGGCTGGTCCCTCATACAGAGCAGAGCAGGGTCCTGTGGCTGGTCCCGCATCCATAGCACGGTAGTATGGTTTGGGAAGGTATGGTGTCGTATGGTATGGTATGGTATGGTATGGTATGGTATGGTATGGTATGGTATGGTATGGTATGGTATGGTATGGTATGGTATGGTATGGTATGGTATGGTATGGTATGGTACAAGGCATGTAGGGGGCAGTGCAGGTGGCCTGGATGGTCACTGCAGGTGGCACGATGAGAGGGGATGGGCGCGCAGCAGAGCAAGCTCCTGGGTGAGGCGCTGCCATGCACAAGGAGGGAGGGAGACGGGGAGCAGAGAGCAGAGAGGCATGATCAGCAGAATTTATCACCGCTGTTCCACGTGTCCATCCACCACACACATGCATCCACCACACACATGCATCCACCACACACATGCATCCACCACACACATGCATCCACCACACACATGCATCCACCACACACATGCATCCACCACACACATGCATCCACCACACACATGCATCCACCACACACATGCATCCACCACACACATGCATCCACCACACACATGCATCCACCACACACATGCATCCACCCACACACATGCATCCATCACACACATGCATCCATCAAACACATGCATCCATCACACGCACTGCCTACACATATGAGCGTATCCTCCTCTACCCCCACCTCTTCTCCCTATCCCCTCACACATCCTCCCTCCACATCCCACCCCTTAACCCTCCCCTTGCTGTCTGCTGCCCTCACTCTAACCCCTCCTCCCCACGCTCTCCCGCCCTCTCCCCCACGCCCCGCCCCTACCCCCTCCCCCCTTCCACCCCCTCCCCCCCGCCACGTCCTCCCTTTGCCTGCCCACCCCCCCAACCCCACTTCCCCCCCCGTCCCCCCCCCTTCGCCCCACCGGCTGATCACCTGGCCCGGGTCGGTCATTCGCAGGAACGACACCTTCTCCTCCGGGCAGATGGGAGGGAGGTGACTTTCGAGTCAACTCTAAACTCACCTCTCGTGTCACTCTCCGTATCCTTCCGCCACACTCCTGTCTCTCCCCCCCCACTGCCTGCAATCCTCCCCTCCCTCTCCCCTTTTCTCCCCACCTTCCCCTCGCCCCACCGCCTGCTCACCTGGCCTGGGTCGGTCATTCGCAGGAATGACACCTTCTCCTCCGGGCCGATGGGAAGCAGGTTTGCTAGCTGTTGTGGTGGGAGGGGGGGAGAGGGGAGGAGAGGGGAAGGGAGGAGAGGGGGAGGGGAGGGGAGGGGAGGGGAGGGGAGGGGAGGGGAGGGGAGGGGAGGGGAGGGGAGGGGAGGGGAGGGGAGGGGAGGAAAGAGGGGTAGGTAGCTGAGGTTACGTGGTTGGTTGGTTGTGCATGGTGTGTGTCTGCATGTGGGTGTGTGGGTGTGCGAGTGTGAGGGCGCGTGGTTTTTGAGGCGCCTAAAACATCATGTGGGTGTGCGGGTGCATGAGTGTGAGGGCAGGTGGCAGCACAAGGGGACGAAAGGCTATATAGCTTGTGACGCCTTTTGAGGCACCACAAAAGGCAGCACAAGGTGACGATAGCTTGTGACGCGGAGTGTGCGTGCCACGTATGTGCCATACATGGCATATCTGCATGCCATGTGTGCATGCCTGTGCATACATGTGCGTACATGTGCTTACATGCGCATAAATGTGCATAAATGTGCATACATGTGCATACATGTGCATGCATGGGCATGCATGTGCGTGTCACGTGTGTGCAACATGTGTGCATGCGCCTGTTACCCAGAAGCGACTTTTGACTCGACTCGACATGCATGCATGCATGCGCCTGTTACCCAGAAGCTGAGGCGCTCGGGCTGGCTGGCAGGAGGGATGTCTCCAGCATTCCTCACATGCTCTATCAGCCTGCTGCGCCGATCTGATGCACACGTGCACACACAAACACATGTGCGAATGGATACATGCGCGAATGCATTTATGCATACATACACACATGCGTACATGCACACGTGCACGCACGCACACATGCATACACAAACCACAAACCCTCTTAGGCCAGTAAACCACATGCAGAAGACAAGCGACAGATTAGGACTTGTAACCGCAGTAACAGGTCGGATGGGCATTCGGGCTAAAGAACGAATACAGAGAGTTAGCAATTCAGCAGGAGCGACGAACATGGAAACAAACAATTCAGGACCAGAACGTGGAAAGCAGAGGGGTGTGCGGGCTGGGATAGCGGAGAGGAGGGGGGGCCGGAAGGATAGGGGCAAGGGGATGGGCAAGGGGATGGGCAAGGGGATGGGCAAGGGGATGGGCAAGGGGATGGGCAAGGGGATGGGCAAGGGGATGGGCAAGGGGATGGGCAAGGGGATGGGCAAGGGGATGGGCAAGGGGATGGGCAAGGGGATGGGCAAGGGGATGGGCAAGGGGATGGGCAAGGGGATGGGCAAGGGGATGGGCAAGGGGATGGGCAAGGGGATGGGCAAGGGGATGGGCAAGGGGATGGGCAAGGGGATGGGCAAGGGGAGGGGCAAGGGGATGGGCAAGGGGATGGGCAAGGGGATGGGCAAGGGGATGGGCAAGGGGATGGGCAAGGGGATGGGCAAGGGGATGGGCAAGGGGATGGGCAAGGGGATGGGCAAGGGGATGGGCAAGGGGATGGGCAAGGGGATGGGCAAGGGGATGGGCAAGGGGATGGGCAAGGGGATGGGCAAGGGGATGGGCAAGGGGATGGGCAAGGGGATGGGCAAGGGGATGGGCAAGGGGATGGGCAAGGGGATGGGCAAGGGGATGGGCAAGGGGATGGGCAAGGGGATGGGCAAGGGGATGGGCAAGGGGATGGGCAAGGGGATGGGCAAGGGGATGGGCAAGGGGATGGGCAAGGGGATGGGCAAGGGGATGGGCAAGGGGATGGGCAAGGGGATGGGCAAGGGGATGGGCAAGGGGATGGGCAAGGGGATGGGCAAGGGGATGGGCAAGGGGATGGGCAAGGGGATGGGCAAGGGGATGGGCAAGGGGATGGGCAAGGGGAGGGGCAAGGGGAGAGGGCAAGGGGATGGGCAAGGGGATGGGCAAGGGGATGGGCAAGGGGATGGGCAAGGGGATGGGCAAGGGGATGGGCAAGGGGATGGGCAAGGGGATGGGCAAGGGGATGGGCAAGGGGATGGGCAAGGGGATGGGCAAGGGGATGGGCAAGGGGATGGGCAAGGGGATGGGCAAGGGGATGGGCAAGGGGATGGGCAAGGGGATGGGCAAGGGGATGGGCAAGGGGATGGGCAAGGGGATGGGCAAGGGGATGGGCAAGGGGAGGGGCAAGGGGAGGGGCAAGGGGATGGGCAAGGGGATGGGCAAGGGGATGGGCAAGGGGATGGGCAAGGGGATGGGCAAGGGGATGGGCAAGGGGATGGGCAAGGGGATGGGCAAGGGGATGGTCAAGGGGATGGGCAAGGGGATGGGCAAGGGGATGGGCAAGGGGATGGGCAAGGGGATGGGCAAGGGGATGGGCAAGGGGATGGGCAAGGGGATGGGCAAGGGGAGGGGCAAGGGGAGGGGCAAGGGGAGGGGCAAGGGGAGGGGCAAGGGGAGGGGCAAGGGGAGGGGCAAGGGGATGGGCAAGGGGAGGGGCAAGGGGATGGGCAAGGGGATGGGCAAGGGGATGGGCAAGGGGATGGGCAAGGGGAGGGGCAAGGGGAGGGGCAAGGGGAGGGGCAAGGGGATGGGCAAGGGGATGGGCAAGGGGATGGGCAAGGGGATGGGCAAGGGGATGGGCAAGGGGATGGGCAAGGGGATGGGCAAGGGGATGGGCAAGGGGATGGGCAAGGGGATGGGCAAGGGGATGGGCAAGGGGATGGGCAAGGGGATGGGCAAGGGGATGGGCAAGGGGATGGGCAAGGGGATGGGCAAGGGGATGGGCAAGGGGATGGGCAAGGGGATGGGCAAGGGGATGGGCAAGGGGATGGCAAGGGGATGGGCAAGGGGATGGGCAAGGGGATGGGCAAGGGGATGGTCAAGGGGATGGTCAAGGGGATGGGCAAGGGGATGGTCAAGGGGATGGTCAAGGGGATGGTCAAGGGGATGGTCAAGGGGATGGGCAAGGGGATGGGCAAGGGGATGGGCAAGGGGATGGGCAAGGGGATGGGCAAGGGGATGGGCAAGGGGATGGGCAAGGGGAGGGCAAGGGGATGGGCAAGGGGAGGGGCAAGGGGAGGGGCAAGGGGATGGGCAAGGGGATGGGCAAGGGGATGGGCAAGGGGAGGGGCAAGGGGAGGGGCAAGGGGAGGGGCAAGGGGATGGGCAAGGGGATGGGCAAGGGGATGGGCAAGGGGATGGGCAAGGGGATGGGCAAGGGGATGGGCAAGGGGATGGGCAAGGGGATGGGCAAGGGGATGGGCAAGGGGATGGGCAAGGGGATGGGCAAGGGGATGGGCAAGGGGATGGGCAAGGGGATGGGCAAGGGGATGGGCAAGGGGATGGGCAAGGGGATGGGCAAGGGGATGGGCAAGGGGATGGGCAAGGGGATGGGCAAGGGGATGGGCAAGGGGATGGGCAAGGGGATGGGCAAGGGGATGGGCAAGGGGATGGGCAAGGGGATGGGCAAGGGGATGGGCAAGGGGATGGGCAAGGGGAGGGGCAAGGGGAGGGGCAAGGGGATGGGCAAGGGGATGGGCAAGGGGATGGGCAAGGGGATGGGCAAGGGGAGGGGCAAGGGGATGGGCAAGGGGATGGGCAAGGGGATGGGCAAGGGGAGGGGGGCAAGGGGATGGGCAAGGGGATGGGCAAGGGGATGGGCAAGGGGATGGGCAAGGGGATGGGCAAGGGGAGGGGCAAGGGGATGGGCAAGGGGATGGGCAAGGGGATGGGCAAGGGGATGGGCAAGGGGATGGGCAAGGGGATGGGCAAGGGGATGGGCAAGGGGATGGGCAAGGGGATGGGCAAGGGGATGGGCAAGGGGATGGGCAAGGGGATGGGCAAGGGGATGGGCAAGGGGATGGGCAAGGGGATGGGCAAGGGGATGGGCAAGGGGAGGGGCAAGGGGAGGGCAAGGGGAGGGGCAAGGGGAGGGGCAAGGGGATGGGCAAGGGGATGGGCAAGGGGATGGGCAAGGGGATGGGCAAGGGGATGGGCAAGGGGATGGGCAAGGGGATGGGCAAGGGGATGGGCAAGGGGATGGGCAAGGGGATGGGCAAGGGGATGGCAAGGGGATGGGCAAGGGGATGGGCAAGGGGATGGGCAAGGGGATGGGCAAGGGGATGGGCAAGGGGATGGGCAAGGGGATGGGCAAGGGGAGGGGCAAGGGGATGGCAAGGGGATGGGCAAGGGGATGGGCAAGGGGATGGGCAAGGGGATGGGCAAGGGGATGGGCAAGGGGATGGGCAAGGGGATGGGCAAGGGGATGGGCAAGGGGATGGGCAAGGGGATGGGCAAGGGGATGGGCAAGGGGATGGGCAAGGGGAGGGGCAAGGGGATGGGCAAGGGGATGGGCAAGGGGATGGGCAAGGGGAGGGAAGGGGAGGGCAAGGGGATGGGCAAGGGGATGGGCAAGGGGATGGGCAAGGGGATGGGCAAGGGGATGGGCAAGGGGATGGGCAAGGGGATGGGCAAGGGGATGGGCAAGGGGATGGGCAAGGGGATGGGCAAGGGGATGGGCAAGGGGATGGGCAAGGGGATGGGCAAGGGGATGGGCAAGGGGATGGGCAAGGGGATGGGCAAGGGGATGGGCAAGGGGATGGGCAAGGGGATGGGCAAGGGGATGGGCAAGGGGATGGGCAAGGGGAGGGGCAAGGGGAGGGGCAAGGGGATGGGCAAGGGGATGGGCAAGGGGATGGGCAAGGGGATGGGCAAGGGGATGGGCAAGGGGATGGGCAAGGGGATGGGCAAGGGGATGGGCAAGGGGATGGTCAAGGGGATGGTCAAGGGGATGGGCAAGGGGATGGGCAAGGGGATGGGCAAGGGGATGGGCAAGGGGATGGGCAAGGGGATGGGCAAGGGGATGGGCAAGGGGAGGGGCAAGGGGAGGGCAAGGGGAGGGGCAAGGGGAGGGGCAAGGGGAGGGGCAAGGGGAGGGGCAAGGGGATGGCAAGGGGAGGGGCAAGGGGAGGGCAAGGGGATGGGGCAAGGGGATGGGCAAGGGGATGGGCAAGGGGAGGGGCAAGGGGAGGGGCAAGGGGAGGGGCAAGGGGAGGGGCAAGGGGATGGGCAAGGGGATGGGCAAGGGGATGGGCAAGGGGATGGGCAAGGGGATGGGCAAGGGGATGGGCAAGGGGATGGGCAAGGGGATGGGCAAGGGGATGGGCAAGGGGATGGGCAAGGGGATGGGCAAGGGGATGGGCAAGGGATGGGCAAGGGGATGGGCAAGGGAGGGGCAAGGGGAGGGGCAAGGGGAGGGGCAAGGGGAGGGGCAAGGGGATGGGCAAGGGGAGGGGCAAGGGGATGGGCAAGGGGATGGGCAAGGGGATGGGCAAGGGGATGGGCAAGGGGATGGGCAAGGGGATGGGCAAGGGGATGGGCAAGGGGATGGGCAAGGGGATGGGCAAGGGGATGGGCAAGGGGATGGGCAAGGGGATGGGCAAGGGGATGGGCAAGGGGATGGGCAAGGGGATGGGCAAGGGGAGGGCAAGGGGATGGGCAAGGGGATGGGCAAGGGGATGGGCAAGGGGATGGGCAAGGGGATGGGCAAGGGGATGGGCAAGGGATGGGCAAGGGGATGGGCAAGGGGATGGGCAAGGGGAGGGGCAAGGGGATGGGCAAGGGGAGGGGCAAGGGGAGGGGCAAGGGGAGGGGCAAGGGGATGGGCAAGGGGATGGGCAAGGGGATGGGCAAGGGGATGGGCAAGGGGATGGGCAAGGGGATGGGCAAGGGGATGGGCAAGGGGATGGGCAAGGGGATGGCAAGGGGATGGGCAAGGGGATGGGCAAGGGGATGGGCAAGGGGATGGGCAAGGGGATGGGCAAGGGGATGGGCAAGGGGATGGGCAAGGGGATGGGCAAGGGGATGGGCAAGGGGATGGGCAAGGGGATGGGCAAGGGGATGGGCAAGGGGATGGGCAAGGGGATGGGCAAGGGGAGGGCAAGGGGATGGGCAAGGGGATGGGCAAGGGGATGGCAAGGGGATGGGCAAGGGGATGGGCAAGGGGATGGGCAAGGGGATGGGCAAGGGGATGGGCAAGGGGATGGGCAAGGGGATGGGCAAGGGGATGGGCAAGGGGATGGGCAAGGGGATGGGCAAGGGGATGGGCAAGGGGATGGGCAAGGGGATGGGCAAGGGGATGGGCAAGGGGATGGTCAAGGGGATGGGCAAGGGGATGGGCAAGGGGATGGGCAAGGGGATGGGCAAGGGGATGGGCAAGGGGATGGGCAAGGGGATGGGCAAGGGGAGGGGCAAGGGGAGGGGGGAGGGGCAAGGGGAGGGGCAAGGGGAGGGGCAAGGGGAGGGGCAAGGGGAGGGGCAAGGGGATGGGCAAGGGGGGATGGGCAAGGGGAGGGGCAAGGGGATGGGCAAGGGGATGGGCAAGGGGATGGGCAAGGGGAGGGGCAAGGGGAGGGGCAAGGGGAGGGGCAAGGGGAGGGGCAAGGGGATGGGCAAGGGGATGGGCAAGGGGATGGGCAAGGGGATGGGCAAGGGGATGGGCAAGGGGATGGGCAAGGGGATGGGCAAGGGGATGGGCAAGGGGATGGGCAAGGGGATGGGCAAGGGGATGGGCAAGGGGATGGTCAAGGGGATGGTCAAGGGGATGGTCAAGGGGATGGGCAAGGGGATGGGCAAGGGGATGGGCAAGGGGAGGGGCAAGGGGATGGGCAAGGGGATGGGCAAGGGGATGGGCAAGGGGATGGGCAAGGGGATGGGCAAGGGGATGGGCAAGGGGATGGGCAAGGGGATGGGCAAGGGGATGGGCAAGGGGAGGGGCAAGGGGATGGGCAAGGGGATGGGCAAGGGGATGGGCAAGGGGATGGGCAAGGGGATGGGCAAGGGGAGGGGCAAGGGGATGGGCAAGGGGATGGGCAAGGGGATGGGCAAGGGGATGGGCAAGGGGATGGGCAAGGGGATGGGCAAGGGGATGGGCAAGGGGATGGGCAAGGGGATGGGCAAGGGGATGGGCAAGGGGATGGGCAAGGGGATGGGCAAGGGGATGGTCAAGGGGATGGGCAAGGGGATGGTCAAGGGGATGGTCAAGGGGATGGTCAAGGGGATGGTCAAGGGGATGGGCAAGGGGATGGGCAAGGGGATGGGCAAGGGGAGGGGCAAGGGGATGGGCAAGGGGATGGGCAAGGGGATGGGCAAGGGGATGGGCAAGGGGATGGGCAAGGGATGGGCAAGGGGATGGGCAAGGGGATGGGCAAGGGGATGGGCAAGGGGATGGGCAAGGGGATGGGCAAGGGGATGGGCAAGGGGATGGGCAAGGGGATGGGCAAGGGGATGGGCAAGGGGATGGGCAAGGGGATGGGCAAGGGGATGGGCAAGGGGATGGGCAAGGGGATGGGCAAGGGGATGGGCAAGGGGATGGGCAAGGGGATGGGCAAGGGGATGGGCAAGGGGATGGGCAAGGGGATGGGCAAGGGGATGGGCAAGGGGATGGGCAAGGGGATGGGCAAGGGGATGGGCAAGGGGATGGGCAAGGGGATGGGCAAGGGGAGGGGCAAGGGGAGGGGCAAGGGGAGGGGCAAGGGGAGGGGCAAGGGGATGGGCAAGGGGATGGGCAAGGGGATGGGCAAGGGGATGGGCAAGGGGATGGGCAAGGGGATGGGCAAGGGGATGGGCAAGGGGATGGGCAAGGGGATGGGCAAGGGGATGGGCAAGGGGATGGGCAAGGGGATGGGCAAGGGGATGGGCAAGGGGATGGGCAAGGGGATGGGCAAGGGGATGGGCAAGGGGATGGGCAAGGGGATGGGCAAGGGGATGGGCAAGGGGATGGGCAAGGGGATGGGCAAGGGGATGGGCAAGGGGATGGGCAAGGGGAGGGGCAAGGGGAGGGGCAAGGGGATGGGCAAGGGGATGGGCAAGGGGATGGGCAAGGGGATGGGCAAGGGATGGGCAAGGGGATGGGCAAGGGGATGGGCAAGGGGATGGGCAAGGGGATGGGCAAGGGGATGGGCAAGGGGATGGGCAATAGGATGGGCAAGGGGATGGGCAAGGGGATGGGCAAGAGGATGGGCAAGGGGATGGGCAAGGGGATGGGCAAGGAGGGAAAGGGTAAGGGCATTACTTGCACGAGCAGTGGAGAGAACTCGAGCCACCCACTCTCTTGCCACCCCTGCCACCTCCTCTGCTAGCGATGATAGCTGTGAAAGTGGGTGGATGGGAAGGGAATGTGTGTGGGAACGCGAGGATAGGAGGTAAAAGAAATCAGAAGCGTTTTAGGTGCATTGAGTCAATGTGCATCAACATATTTTATGGTACATCTGTTGATGCACATTGACTCAATGACTGAATCAATTGGGGTGCATTGACTTGACGGCACACCTGGTTTGCTGCGTCTGAGCCTGCCTCTGGAAGGACGTCTTGCACCCACTCCACTTGAGCCACTCGGTACCTGCGGTAGGCACACACACACACACACACACACACACACACACACGCGCGCGCGCACGCACGCACGCACGCACGCACGCACGCACACACACACCCACACACACACACACACACACACACACACACACACACACACACACACACGCGGGACATGCACACATGCACGGTGCGTCAACACATGGCCCCTGTTGCCATGCTCTAGCATCTGAGCCCAGCCTCCCCTCCATGTAACCCTTTCTTCCCCTTCACCCTTGCCTTTATTCTCGTCTCGTCCACCCTACCTCCCATCCCCCTTATCCCCCTTTTTCTCCACTCTTCCTCTACCCACCACTCCCGTCTCTACCACTCTCTCTCTCACCATGCTTACTCCACTCCCCCCCCCCTCTCACCCATCTTGCTCCCAGCTGCTGGTGATCTTGAACCGACGCACTCCCTCCACCTGTATCCATGGTGAAGGGGGTCGGAGGGGGGAGGAGCGGGGGGAGAAGGGCACGGGGAAGGGGACAGGGAAGGAGAGCAGTGAGTGCATATGCCACAATTGACATGTACCCTAAGCATGGCATGCAAGGTTATCAACGTAGGGCAAAGTGTGACAGTTCAATAACAACCCAAGGTGAACTTTAAGTCGACTCAGGAATTACCTCGTAGAACAAAGTGTGAGTATTCAATAACAACTGAAGCTTGTGCATATCACCATGCCTCGCTAAGAAATCATGGGGGGTTTTGAAGATCTTAGCATACCCCCCAAACCAATGCACAGGTGCGAACATAGAGCCATACATACCTCTATGTAGAAATGGCCATCGGGTAAAGGGTCACATCTGATGGCGGGATGGGAGGAGGTGGCATTTGAGTCGCCTCAAAAGTCACCTTGTTACAATGTCACGTGGTGTTTTGAGTCGACTTGACTCAAGAGGCGCAAGGTCATACCTCTATGTAGAAACGGCCGTCGGGTAAAGGGTCACATCTGATGGTAGGATTGGAGGGAGGGCAGGCAGGGGAAGGAGGCCAGGAGGATGAAGGAGGAGGGTTGTAAGCACGAAGGGAGGAAGGGTTTCGTGGTGGTGGTTTTGAGAAGGGTTGAAACCCAGACAGACTGTGAGAGAGGAATAATGGGTATGTGTATCGGAAGGGAAAATGCTAAGGTGAATATAAGGTTTCGAATGGCGAGAGACGGCTTGGCATGGCATGGCATAACATAACATGGCATGGCATGGCATGGCATGGCACAACATGCAGCAGGCAGGGCATACTCTGAGATCTTGACTTCACATGCCATGTCCTGCATGGTACCAGTGCGGCGATCCACACCCACCTGGCACAAGGGGAGGATGGAGAGCAAAGAACTTACAGCAGATGGTATGCAGCATGATATGGCATGCCATGGCATGGTGTGACATGGATATGAGAAGTGGTCGACTGCAGGGTACACTAAATTGATTGTCATGGTATTCGGTCATTCGTACCATGCCCATGCGGTGATCTCCCTCCATGATTCTGCGGATCTGCATGTTGTCACGATGCACATGCACATGCACATGCACACATTGCAGTGATGCATCATGCACATGTACATGGGCACACATGCATGAATGCACACGCGCACATGGACGCGCACATGCATGCACGTAGAAAACGCACACAAGAGCACAACGGACGCAAAGAGATACAAAGGAAGGCATGTAGGATGAGGGAACTTCGAAGAGCCATTGAGAATCGGGTGAACAGAGACGCAAATGCTGAATCAACTTAAAAAAGTCGCCATATTACACAAGCCATGCAGAAGAAGTGAAGTCAACTTAAAAAAGTCGCAAATGCCAATGAAGTCGGGTGAACAAAGGCAGGTGAGTGTGTGGGTAGAAGAAGTGTGTATGCAGAAATTCGAGAGATGCCCAACTCTCGAACGTTCTCCCCACAAATGATACCTCCTAGCCGACTCTCCCCGCGCCCCCCTCCTTTTGCACCCCACACTCTGCCACCCCTTCTGTCCCCTTGGCCCCTTGCCCCCTTAACTCCCTGCTCTCCTTCTCCCTCTCTCCTTCTCACACTCCTCCCCCTCCCCCCTCCCACCATGAGGCGGTATCTGGGCTCAAAGATGTTAAGAGCCATCTTCTGTCCTGGCAGCACAGAGTCCATGACGAATAGAGGCAGGATCTGATGCGCGCACATGCACATGAACATGCACGCACGAGTGGAGAGGGGTTGAGAGGGGTGGAGAGGGGGGGAAAGGGGGGGAGGGCGGTAGAGAGGGGTGTGAGATGTTCATGCTACTGCCTAGGAGTATTGAGTATGTGCTCAAGAGGAGGAAGAGGGATACAGGCAGAGCAGAGGCAACACAGGACGAGTGGTAAGGGCGGCACAGGGGAGTGTGGAATGATATAGAGCGGTGGAAAAGGGTGGAAATGGATGGAACAGGACAGAACACGGACTATTCACAGCCAACACCTCATCTCTCCTCCCACTCCCTCGTCCCCCCCACACGCACTCCACCCACAACCACACCTGTCTGCCTCACTGTACACTCACCTCTCGCCCTACCACCTTCTCCCCCTCCCCCTCCTGCCGCCTCTCCTCGTACTCCTCTGGGAACAGCCGCTCAAGGATGGCCTGGAGGGTCACACTGCGCAGGGAGGGAGACAGAGAAGTAGCGGCAATGTAGGGGTGATTCAGACGGAGTTTGTTTGGTTGCCACTTGGTTCAGATGGAGGGGGGCTTGGTTGGCACTTTCAAAAGCCTGTCCTCGTAGTCTTGGTTGGGAACAGCCGCTCCGGGAGATAAACGTCGAGTGTTGAGACGTCTCAAACGAAACTCAATTGCTTCTCCTCGTACTCCTGTGACTTTTGAGTCGACTCAAAAGCCTTCTCCTCGTACTCGTGTGAGAACTGCAGCTCCAAGAAGGCCTGGAGAGTCACACTGCAGGGGGGAGGGCGGAAGGAGAAGTGGCGAGAGCAGGGGCGCTGAAGCGTGAAGGTTGCAAGAACAGGGCAAGATTGCAAGCACATGAGCCGAGCACCATGTCACAGCACAAGGACGGGAGGAGGACCGGAAGGTTCAGTTCAGTGCAGATTGTTAAACGGCTTGAGGGTGTGAGGGAGATGAACCACCTGACAGAGTGTAGGATTATTGGAATCACCTGAAAGAATGTTGAAATCACCTGACAGGGTGTTGCATGGGGCTGACGAATAGAACAGTGCGGCACACGGGACACTTGTTGCCTGCAGGGGAGGAGAATGAGAGGAGAGGAGAGAAAGAGGCAAACAGACAGAAGAAGCCACAACAGGATGAGAGCTTGAACGGCTGCTTCGTCCTTTTGATATATATTTTTCCCTGTAGAGAGTGCATGCCATGCCGCCACATAGCAGTGAAGCGGCGTGGTGCGGCTATGCCACATGCCATGCCACATGCCAAGCGGCGTGGTGCGGCTATGCCACATACCACACATGCAACGATTTTGAGTCGACTCAAAGATCCCCGTTACATGCCAGGGCACTGCAGGCGCAACAAATGAACCCCTTTTCTGGCAGGCTGTAGGCATTGACACTCTTGCACAGCGTGCCCGTTCTAAAGAGTTAACCATGAGCCGTCCCACAGTGCAACAGTGAACAGCACATTTGCTTTTCTCGACTTGCTGTTTTCGATTCACTACTGCTTTTTACTGGAGCAACACATGTATGCTTGCTTGCTACGAGCGTACAAGAGAGGCACCCGTACCATGATCCAACACACGCACGAGGCAGGAGCGACAGAAGGTGTGCCCTGCAGTAGGCGAAACAGGGTGCAGGGAGGGACAAACACGAATGGGGGGGGGGGGGGGGGGGGGGGGGGGGGAGAGAAGGGGGGAGAGGTGGAAGGGAGGAATGAAATACGGAAGAGGAGGTTGCAGAAAGGGAAAGGGGGGCGGGAGGGTTGGGGAAGAAGGAGGGGGGGCGGGATAGAGGTTGGGGGTGGTGCAGGGTGGTGCGCGGTGGTGCGTGAGTGAACGAAACCGAAGAGAAGACAACGAGAGGGGCAGCATTCGTTTTGGTAAGGAATTCCTTCCAACGGCCAATCGCTCAGTGCACATGGCATCACATGGCTTAGAAATACAATGCGCACAACATACCACAGGGCGTGGTGACCGGGTGGAACAGCAGCTTCGGCACAGACTGCAGTCAAACTCCTCTGTTGAGGCGCCTCAAAATTGTGAGACAAGAGACGTCTATTGAGGTTCAGTTCGTTTGATTGGCATACCACAGGGCGTGGTGACTGGGTGGAACAGCAGCTTCAGGCACAAACTGCAGTCAAACTCCTCTGTCCTCTCCACTGCATGATGACTCCTCTCATTCTTCCCAAGCTCCTCCTGCTTCTTATGCTGCTGCTTGTTCCCCTTCCCCTTCTTCCCCTTCCCTTTCCTTGCCCTCATCCGCCTCACACCACCCTTCCCCTCCTCATTCTCCCCATCCCCCACCACCACCACCGCCTCCCCCTCTCCCGTTCCCCTTGCTTCACCTCCCTCTCCCTCCTTCCCGTCCCCCTCCTCCCCCTCCTCCCCCTCTCCCATCTCCACATCCTCCTCCTCATAACTCTCCTCCTCCCCCTCAGAAGACGACAAACTGTCTTCTTCGTCCTTCCCCTCCCCTGCCTCCTTCCCCTTGCTCCCTACCCCCTCGCCCTCTCTCCGCCCCTCCCGCCCTCCTCCTCTCCGTCCCTCCCCCGTTCCTCCTCCTCCCCCTCGCCCTGCCTGCACCACTCGCCGCACCTCCTCCTCCTCTGCTGTTAGTTCCTGCAACCCCGCTTGCAGCAGAGGGCTGGAAGAAGGGGGCACATGGGCACATGGGGGGAGGCCGTGGGTCATGTAACAGACAGATGGCGCGTGTCTGATCTGAAAATCCTCCTCTGCTGTTAGTTCCTGCAACCCCGCTTGCAGCAGAGGGCTGGGGGGAGCGCACGTGGGGAGAGAGCACGTGTGGGGAGGGAGTCATTGGGTGAGGCATTTGAGGAGAGTCACTCAGTCACATACTCGCCGCACCTCCTCCTCCTCTGCTGTTAGTTCCTGCAACCCCGCTTGCAGCAGCGGGCTGGGGGGAGAGTATGGAAAAAACAGGAGAGCATACACGGAGAGCATTGGATGGAGCGTATGGGGTGAGCATCTTATATGTAGAGATGGGGAAGGGGAAGGCAGCGCGACGAAGAAGTGGAGAGGGTAGGCGAGGTCAGGGGAGGAGAGGGCAGGGGATACGTAGGTGAGGTAAAGCATGCATGCTCCTACCCTCCCCTACCCTCCCCTACCCTCTCCTACCTTACCTAACCCTCCCCTGCCCCTCCCCAGCCCAGCCCAACACAGCCCAACCCAGCCCAGCCCAACCCAACCCAACCCAACCCAACCCAACCCAACCCAACCCAGCCCAGCCGCACTGCGCCGAGCCGAGGCAGCAAGGCTCACTTGGTGGGGTCGATGTGAAGGCCGTTGAGAAACGCCTCTCGAGCGTCGCTGTATCGCTCCAGCTGTGGCAGGGAGAGGGCACATGGGTGGAAGAGGGGAAAGAGGGACGGAAGGAGAGCAATCTTTGATCGACTGGAAAAAGGACCAAAAGGAAAAAGGATCAAGAAACTCCTCTCAGGCATCGCTGATTCGCTCTAGCTGTGGTATGGGCAGGTGGGTGGGCGAAAGGGATGGAGGGGGAGAGGAGCAAGAGAGGGCTTTTGAGGTGGAGAGATTTAGTTTGAGGTGCCTCAAAAAGTGTGGGAATGGGTAATGGCAGAAAGAAAGACTGAGGTATACTATGCTGCACAACAAGCACAGCAGGCATTTCAGCAGCAGCACCAGCGGTGGCGGCAGCAGCAGGACTCACAAGAACAAGAGCCGCTGCTTTTCTGAGGTGCGCCTTGGGCCAGTCCTCACTCTGCTTGACTAGCTTCTCCGCATCCTTAAGAGCAAGCTGGCACAGGCAGACAGGCAGAGAGGCAGACAGGCGTGCACAGGCAGACGGATGGGCATTGACAGGCAGGCAGATTTTCAGTCAACTCATTAGTGCACCTTGGGCCAGTCCTCGCTCTGCTTCACTAGCTTCTCCGCATCCTTGATAGCAAGCTGGCACAGAACGGATGTCAGGGAGGCACTCATAAGCAAAAGAGAGATGGAGAGGGAGCGAGCCGGCATGGTATGAGAGAAGTGCATTTCCTCGCTCTTGCGCTGGTGCTCTGTCCCTGCTGCCTACTCTGACCAGACGGTAAGACACCAGTCTCAAGGAAATGGCAGAGGCACCAGGGACGGACAGAGCACCTGCGCAACAGAGGAAACGGCCTCTGTGCTGCTTGCTGAGTCGACTTAGGGCCACCTAGTGTAGGAGCACCTGTGCGAGGGAGAGTGGGTCGAGGCCGAAGAGGGCCCTGCGCTCCGACTGTGCTGCTGGGATGCTGCGAAGGCGCTTGCTCAGACTGGCAAAGGGAGGGAGGGGGCCGTGGAGGGAGGGGTGGTGGAAGCAGGGAGGAAGGAGAATGCGCTCTGACTGTGTGTGCCGCTGGTATGCTGCGAAGGCGCTTGCTCAGGCTGGCGGGTTGGGAGGAGCGTGCAGGGAGGGGGGATGGCGGCAGGCGGAATGAGGCGGATGGATGGGTAATCGGTGTAAATGGATGGACGGAAGAGTTCTGAATTATGGCGTGGACACAAAGAGAAGCGCACTGAGACACATGATTTCTTTTCTTTCCTTTTCTACAACTTTCTCCTACGCTGCTGCTGCTGCTGCTGCTGCTGCTGCTGCTGCTGCTGCTGCTGCTGCTGCTGCTGCTGCTGCTGCAGCTGCTCGCTCGAGCATGTCTCAAGAGGTGGATGGATGGATGCAGGGGTTCCGAATGCGGTGCGGAGAAAGAGAGGAGAGCGCACCAGCAGAGAGCGGCGGAGCGGTTACTGAGCAGCACGGAGGTAGCGTCAGGGGGCAGACGGGGGGCTACAGGGGCCGTGGGGGTGGCAGTGGTGGCAGCGGTGGTGGTGGTGGCAGCGGTTGTGTTGGTGGGGGTAGGGGTGGGGGAAGATTGCAGAGCAGAGAGGAGGGTGGGTGGGAGTCGGAACCCCTCCTCTGGGCTGCTGCTGGCGCTCACAAACGGGCTGCTGCTGTTGCTGCTGCCACCGCTGCCGCTGCCGCTGGTGCTGGTGCTGCCCGGGTTTGGCGTGACAGCGGCGGGTGTGACACTAGTGGGTGTGGCAGTAGTGGGAGTGACAGTGGCTGAGTGTGCCTGTGACGAGGCGAGCTGGCTGAATCGCTGCAGTGCGCGTGAATACGCTTCTATGGCCTGATGGGGGAAAGGCGGCAGGAGGTGGGGGGGACGAAGGAAAGGTAGGAGAGAGGAAGGAGGGACCAGTGAGTGCATGGGTGGGTGGGGGAGAAAGGAGAGAAACGGGAGAACGGCTGTCCAATCGGTTTTTAAGGCGCCTCATTAAACTCGTCTTGTGAGTGAGACGTATGTTACCTTCCTTCCCCCTCCCTTGCCTCCCCCCAAGAACGCGCACCTCCTTGTTGCTGCCCCGGTGGAAGGCCCTGTTCAATCTTGGTGATATACGAGTCAATCAAGATCCATTCAGAAAAACCTCATATGTTACCTCTCCCCACCACCCCTCCTCTCCCTGTTCCCCTCCCCCTCCCCCCCCACGCCCCCCAACACCACCCGCAACCCCCTTCCCTCTTCCCCGAGCGCGCACCTCCTCGTAGTTGCCCCGGCGGAAGGCCCCGTTGCCCCTTAGCAGCATCTGGCGCACCGTCCCCGCGTCCCCCTCCCCCAGCAGCGCCGCCAGCTGCCCTAGCGCGCCCCGCTCCGCCTCGTCCTTGGAGGGTGAAAGGGGGAGTATGGAAAAGCGGGCGAACACAGGGGAGTGGGAGTGTGGGGGGAAGGGGGAAAGGCAGGGGGAAAGAATGAAGGGAAAGGAAAAGGCGCTCGCGCGCCCGCTCCGCCTCGTCCTCGGGAAGGAAGCAGAAATAGGAGAGGGAGGAAAAGCGAGGAAGACGTGGGAGGGAGGGGGGCAGGAGAATGGGGTGGGGGAAGCAGTTGGAGGGGAGGAAGGGGTACACATTAAGAGGTGTGTGTGTGTGTGTGTGTGTGGTGTGTGTGTGTGTGTGTGTGTGTGTGTGTGTGTGTGTGTGTGTGTGTGGTGTGTGTGTGTGTGTGTGTGTGTGTGTGTGTGTGTGTGTGTGTGTGTGTGTGTGTGAGCCTCCGAGCGGGTCGGGTACACATCACAAAGAAATGCCATGAAGCTTACGAGCAGCGGGTCATCATCAACCCCAGGATCCAGGGACGAAGCGTTCTGGAAGGGATGCGGGCAAGCCCCGGAGAGAGAGGGTGTGTGTGAGGCTCGGAGAAGGGAGGGAGGCTTACAAGCAACGGGTCATCGTCAACCCCAGGATCCAGGGACGAAGCGGGATTGACGGTTGTATGGATTGTTACGCGCGCGCTCGCGCCTCGTGCTGCTCCTTCCCCCCCTGCAGCTGCGACTCCTTCGGCTGCAGGCGCGGACACGGCGGCAGCAGAAGGCATTTGCGTCGGAGGCTCCATTGTCGCACGGTTCGCTCGGTCCTGCGAAAGCTGGCTGGCACTTCGCTGGCTGCACGTCACGTCGCACGCCCGACTAACGACTCGTCGCCCTGCTTTTCATTGCTAGAGCTCCAGCAAGCATGCATTTGTGAGTGCCTGTGCTGTTTCCATTCAAGAAAATCTGGATGTGAGGCACGACGTGAGGGGGGAGGGCGTGCAGCAGGAAAGTACTTTCTGCGAAGGCTTTGCGAGGAATCCCTTTGTGGCGAAATCTCTCTGGCGATGTCAGGGAAAACTGAAAGCGCCTCGTCCTTTTGTGTTGCGTGGGTTCGGACGAATGGGTGTGTCGTCATGCCCAGGGCGGATGACGCATCAACTGTAGCGTCAGCTGACGTGGAGCAACGCTGTTTGTCGGAACCGGCACCACGTGGGATTCATCGCAACTTGCTTGATCGTCCACCATCCACGCAAGGGTCAAGCAGCGTGGCACCTAGGAGACCACAGAGAACAGACGCGATAGGAGAGGCATCGTGACTCGCTCTGGACATCCACACCCATAAATTGGAACAGCACCATGCCTTATGTGTGACCTGAACTCAGTAAATCAGAAATAAGTAATAAGAAAAAATTATCTGAAGGAAAGAAAAAGTACTCAATTCTGCTCAACAATCAAAACCTCTCCAATATATTTGGCATTACACTCTGCCACCTGTACACATCAAGAATCCAGGCCGCAGCACCTATACCACATCATGCAAGTCACGCCATAGCGAGGTATTGCTGTTGACAGTCTCAGCTACGGCAGCAGTGGTCGGGGTGGTGGACGGAGGTTGGTGGAGGTAGGTGGGAAGGACGGTACAAACAGCTACGGTGGAGAATCAAAGCAAGCCCCAACCAGCACAGACTGTCTGGAAAGGAGAGTGCCAAAGCGAGGGAAAATCTCTAGGATCTTGGGGCGAGAGAGAGGAGAGCGCAAGCAGCATATTCTCAGCTGGGCTTACGCGTGCAGTAAATTCAAATTCTAAGTCCTGGGAGCACCACCAGCAGCCCCAGGGGCACCAGCAGCACCGGGGGCACCTGGGCGGGCACCTGGGGCACCTGGAGCACCTGGCTTGCCACGGTCGTCCTGTTGTGCATTGCCATCCAAACGTGCGGGGAGAATGGGAGAAAGACGGCAGAGAGGGAGGACGGGAGAAAGGATGAGGAGACTTTTCCAGTCAATTCCACTGTAAAAAAAGCAAAGCTTGACGATCATGGACAGACAAAACTCGTTCTCTTCCTCCCACACACATCAACCAGAAAGCCTTGCAGGAATATTGTAATGCAACCTTGTGCTCCATGCAACCCAGTGCGGCCTGCATGGAGAAACCAAGATCAGACCCGCCCATCCTTCCCACGCATTCCCCGAACTCCTCCACGCCCCACCACTACCCTGTGCCCACTCTCTCCTTCCCAACCCACTCCCCTCCCCGCCTCTCCCCTGCAGCACTCCCCATCCCCCTTTTCCAGCAGTGGCGTTTCCCCCTCACCTTGCGCCCGGGCCTCTTGGGCGGCTCGCGGATGCGGCGCGCCTGGCGCGAGCGCACGCGCACGACGTGCGAGTGGATGGCGCACGAGATGCAGTACTGCACCTTCGCGTACAGCTTCGGCAGCGCGTAGCCTGTTGGGGAAGGTGGGAGGGGGTGGGTGGAAGCGGGGGAGAGAAGGTAGGGGAGAGTGTCTGAGTTGACCCGGAAGTCACCTCACGACGAGATGCGAGTGGATGGCGCACGAGATGCAGTACTGCACCTTGGCGTATAGCTTCGGCAGCGCGTAGCCTGCGCGCACGGGGGAAGTGGGAGGGGGGGGGGGGGGGGAGCGGGCGAGACGGTGGGGAAGAGTGTCTGAGTTGACCTGGAAATCAACTCACGACGTGCGAGGAGTGGGAGAAGAGGAAGGGGAAGGAGAGGCGGAGGGAAGGGGGAGGCGACGGGGAAGACGGGGTGAGGGAGGAGGCGGAGGAGGATTCAGCGAGCAAGGCGGCAACAATGCATATAGATAGTTGCCCAACCGAGAGTCGAACTCTCTCATCCACTCACGAGAGTCGTACTCTCGCATTCCCCCCGTATCTATCACCCATCTGCTACTGCCCCATCAAACCATCTCGCACCATCCGTCTCTCCTCTCCTGCACGCTGCAAGCTAAGGCCCTACTCCCTCTGCCCCTATCCCCCCGATAACACCCCCTCATAGGACCCTAGCCCCTCGGTAGCCCCCTAGTCCCCCGAAAGGACGCAGCGCGTACCGTCATAGACGCACGCCTCCTGCACGTCGCGCACGGCAGCCTGCTCCACGATGTTGCGCACCAGGAAGCGCTTCACCGCCTTGTCCTGCGCGGGGTGGAGAGGGGAAGGGAGAGCGGAGGGATTGGGGAGATGGGACGGGGGTGAGGGGGGGCGCTCCAAAGAGTCGCGCACGGCCGCCTGCTCCACGATGTTGCGCACCAGGAACCGCTTCACCGCCTTGTCCTGCGCGGGGGGGAGAGGGAGGGGGAGGGGCGGGATTGGGGAGATGGGAGGGAGGTCAGGGAAGGCGCTCCAGAATGTCACGCCAGGCCACCTGTTCCACGGTGTTGCACACCAGAAAGCTTTTTACCGCATTGGACCGAAATGTATATACGTAACAGTCAGAAGGGGTTCAAATGAAGCTCAGGATTTCAAGATTGACTTCAACTGGCCGTCACGTAGACGTCCGGTAGTCAGATCAACTTAGTACATAGAATTTAAAGCATCATAGCTCCCTTCCGAACAACCTGGTCATTACTCTTGACTGGACTGGACCGGCAGAGCAACTACACACTAATCACCAGCGAATGGAATGCCATGGGCTCAGAAAAAGCGTTATTATAAAATGATCACTCATGCGACAAAAGCCGCAATCGGAATTTACTGTAGCGCATCATAGCCCGGCAAGGCAACTCAACTACAACTCGCACGTGCAGCGGCCTAGTGAACAAGAGACCGCTAGAACTAACGAACACGAGACTACGACGCAACAACAGAGCGGAATGACTCGGGAGGAAATCACTCAGGGAACTCAGAGCGGAATTACTCTAACGGTATTACTGGAAACTACTCAGAATTTTGCAGAGGCAGAAGCTCAGGGACATTGAGATGTGTCTTCAACGGCTGCCAAATCGGTAGCCGTGAATTCAGGTCAACTTAGTACGTTAGTCTAATCATCATCGCTTCTGTTCCGCCCAGAGTAATTCCCGATAAGGATGGATATGCGGACTGATATAAGCGGATGGCAATGGATGGCAGGTAGCGGAGGAATGGTGGGCGACGGATGCGCAGGGGGGCGGCGGACGCACCTTGGGGCAGCACTTGGCGCAATTGGAGCAGCGAATGGGCTTCACGTGCCCGCGCCCGTGCTTGTTGCGCCCTCCATTGCGCCGCTTGACCGTCTGGAAAGGGTGGCGGAGGAGGAGGAAAGGAGGGGAGGGGGGGGGGGGGGGGAGAGGGAGGAAGAGCGGTGGAGGGCTGGATGAATTGGGAGAGAAAAAGTGCGTGCGAGGGGAGAGCGGCAGCGACAGAGAGAGCTTGAGGCAAAAGGAAGAGGGGAGGAACAAGGAACGATTGAGCGAGATGGAAGGCGTGGAGCAGAGCACCAAAAAGGGGGTGCAGAAGTGTGGGAACACGATAGTGAATTAATGCCAGCAGTACAACTATGCGTGAGAGAGAATCGCGATGGGAGGAGATCGGCCACAGATGAGCCGTTTTATTCAAAGACTCGCTACTTTCACTAATGGGGGTTTAACAAGCTACGGCGCATACCCTCGCGATGTGCACTGAGTGATACCCCTAGCTCAATTTTTGAAACTCCTAGATATCCGATCTCTCGCAATCAACGCTGCGCTAAAGTCCGTAGAAAATGCGACGAGCCTGCTGATCGGCTAATCCACTCACCATGGTGACGTCACTGTGAGGTAATCCTGGGTAGACGCTCTGGAAGCAGGGAAGCAAGAGAAGAGAGACTAGGGAGATGTAGAGGAGCGAGGGGGAGAAGATCCAAAGGGAGAGGCTAGGGTAGGAAGCATAGGATTATATGATGGTGGAAGTGAGTGAGGGGCGAGGGTCGCGCGCGGGGGGGAGGGAGGGTGTGGTTGGAAACGTCCAAGGGGTGAGGGAAGGAATAGGCGGAGCGGAAGGAAGGGATGCTTTCGGGGATTCGTCATCCACGGTGGTTGTACTGATAGTCACCAAATACCTTGCATTTGCACTTGAGATACGAATTGTATTAAGGAATTAACTCATACGGTATGATACTACTCATTTGAACATTTATTGATTTAACTGTAAAACACGTAGATCAACTGAATTACTGATAATATCAAATATTTCTGACTATTCATCAACTTTGGCACAATTTGGCAACCTTATCTCCAATATCCATTATTATTTGGGCGTTTGTGTCAGAATGAAGAATGGATGATGCATTGATGTTGGTTGGGGTACATATAGCTAACCCTAAGTTTTGTACCCCCTAAGACAAACCTCACTATAGGCTACAACATTTGACACACCCCCATAGCCTAAGTGAGGGGTGTCTAGCAGAACCAAACGAGTACGGTCACAAGACCAGTCCAAGAAACGAAGCTCAGGGTGGATCACAACGTCACCACACAGTCTGAGCACAAACAACAGTGGCCACAAGGCCAGTCCAAGAAGTAACAGAGGTATATAGAAAGCAAAGTAAACAGTACACTCAAGTCTAAGCAACACGAGAACCAGTGTCAACAAGGCCTAACTGCACACAGCACCTCTGGTGGTCACAAGGCGGAAGCGCCTTGGTGAAGATGTCTGCAGTGTTGGCCTCGGACTCCACAAACTCAAAGCGAGCCTGTCCACGCCTCTGCAACTCTCGCAGAAGAAAGTACCTGACGTGAATGTGCTTCACTCTGCTCTCCAGTCGTGGCTCTCGACAAAGGAGAATAGACGCCTTGTTGTCAGTGAACAAGGTCGGTGCAGAGCTCGGCCGCTCACCAAGGTCGGTGAGCAAGAAGGTCAACCAACGCAGCTCCTGTGCCGCCATGGCACCAGCGTAGATCTCAGCCTCAGCTGTAGAGGTCGAGACCGAAGAGGAGCGCGTGGACCGCCAGGAAACAGCTCCAGAACCCAGGCTGAAACAGTACCCCTGAGTAGACCTGTGAGTCTCAGCGTCGTCAGCGTAAGAGGAGTCACAGTGACCAGTAAGTACGACAGACTGCTGCCCTCCAAGAACTAGCCCCACGCCTGATGTCGTCGCTAGGTACTTCGCCACCCTCACAGCTGCTGTCCAGTGAACAGGACGGTGTCTCCCTGGCGCAACAAAGCGCGCAAGAACGCTGAGAGGGAAGGCGAGGTCCGGGCGAGTACAAGTCATCAGGTACATGAGGCAACCCACAAGCTCTGCGTAGGGACCACTAGGCTCGAACGGCTCGTCAGGAAAGGGTCCAGTGAGTCTGTGGTCAACAGCAAGAGGTGTGCGCTGTACTGTGGAGTGCTGAAGCCCGAACCGCTGAAGGACCTGCTGCACCATGTGTGACTGTGAAAGTGTAATGGTGCGAGCAGCTCTGTCCCTGGTGATCTGCAGGCCAAGGTAGTGGCGCAGCTCACCAAGATCAGTGCAGGTGTGTCTCTTCTGCAGTTCGGACTTCACGTGTGCCAAAGCAACCCTGTCAGGGGTGGCGAAAACAAGGTCGTCAACGTAGACCAGAACAAAGAAAGGTGTGGGGCCACGACGAACGAACAGCGACGGGTCAGCAGCTGGAACCCAAGGTCAGACAGGGTAGAACGCAGGGTGTCGTGCCACTCACGAGGAGCCTGACGAAGACCGTAAACCGGTCGCCTCAGCCTCCACTGGGTCCCAGGAGGGAAAGAGCCAGTGAAGGCAGAGGGACGACGCAACCAGACCTCCTCGTGAAGACTGCCCTGAAGGAAAGCAGTAGAGAAGTCGAGAGAGTGTAACTCGTAGTCTCTCTGTGCTGCTACGTGTAGTAACACCCGAAGAGTGGTCATCTTCGGGGTGGGCGCGAAGGTCTGAAAGAAGTCAACTCCCTCGCGCTGACTGAAACCTCTAGCCACGTAGCGCGCCTTGAAGACCGGAGGAGATCCCGGTGGCCGCTTCACCCTGTAGATCCACATGCCGTCGACTACGTTCGCCCCCGGAGGGGGAACCTCATCGACGTAGGTGCCTGTGGATCTGTAGGAGGCCATCTCTGCGTCCATGGCAGCTCTCCACTGAGAGGCCCAAGGCCCTGACACTGCCTCAGCGTAAGTGCGAGGAGTCGGAATGTCAAGGGCGTCGGGGTCACCCTCAGGGGCGAGGAGCATGGCACAGAGATGAGGGGAAGCGGCCGCCAGGAACTCTAGCTCAAACTGCCTGTCCTCTAGGGCGTCACAGCCAAGGGCAGACACACCCCCGACGGCCAGAGGACTGGAAGGAGGAGCAGCCACAAGAGCGGTGGCGAAGTCAAGGCGGCGGGTAGAGGCAAACTCAGTGACTGCGGTAGTAAGAGCGGACACAGAGGACACAGAGGCACGAGGGTGGGTAACAAGAGAGGCGAGAACACGAGAGAGAACAGGACGGTACGTGCGGTAGTAGTCAGTGACAGGAGAAGGAAGCGACACAGTGAGGGCCGACTCAGGAGGAGACGGAAGCACAGACGGAGACGGACGAGGTGGACGAGAACAAAGGAAGGCTGTACGAAGGTCAGTGAAGGGAACAGGAGACGAGGGACGAGCACGAGGGGAGCGACGAGAGGCCCAAGTCTGAGAAGGAGGAGGAGACAACGAAGACTGAGAACGAGGGAAAACAGCGGGAGAGGGGTCAGGAGGAGGAAGCGGAGGACCAGAGACGGGAGGAGAGGGGGAGGAGGAAGGAGAGGGAGACGGGAGACCAAGGGTCCGAAGACCCGAGACAGGAGGAGGAGACGGCAGCAGCTGCTGCTGCTGCTGCTGCGGCTGCTGCGGCTGCTGCTGCTCCAGCGGCTGCTGCCCCTGCTGCTGCTCCTGCTGCTGTCGCTCCTGCTCCTCGAGCCGCTGCAACTCTCTCTCCTCTCTCTCCAACTCCAGCTGCTCCTCACGAGCACGGCGAACACGAGCCTGGAACCTGGTCGGGTAGGGGTGGGGGGAAGGAGTAGTGTCCGGGGCAGCGGCAGCCCCAGAGTCGACCTCCGAAGCACCAAGCACACCACCCCCAGAGGCAGCACCAACACCAGCTCCAGACCCAGGCTCTCCAGAAACCGAAGGGACACCCTCACCCCCAGACGCAGCACCCCCAGACTCCGCACCAGCACCCCCAGACTCCGCACGACCAGTACCAGCCCCCGGAAGACAAGAGTCCTCTGCAACCCGCGGCTCAGCTCCAACTCCAGCACCCCCAGAACCAGAGACCTGTACAGGGACAGTCGCAGGACCAACCTCCCGAGAGGGAGCACCTGCAGGAGGCGGCGAGGAAGACTGTGGGGAGGGAGGCTGTACAGGAGGGGCCACCGAAGGGGGAGGGCTAGCCTGAGACACACCAGACGGGGCTGGACCAGGGGGGGGAGGCTGTACCGGGGGAGCAGGCGGGGGAGCGGCGGTCAGGAAGAGAGGGGGGGGAGGGACCGGGAGACCTCGACTGGGGTACCTGACGTAGTAGGGGGTGGACTCCTCGAAACGGACGTCACGGGAGTCAAAGAACCGGTGAGAGGGAGGGTGGTAAAAGGTGAAGTCAGAGGAGTCCTCAGGGAAACCAAGGAAGACACAAGAAACGGCGCGAGGCGAGAGCTTGTCCGCGGAGGTGTCGCGGACAAGAGCCAAGCACCCCCAGACACGAAACCTCGACGCGACACCAGGGGACCCTGTCCAAAGACTGGTCGGTGAAGCCTCCGGCCGAGAGACGCGTGGCCAGAGGTTCAGCTGGTGCGCGGCGTACCTGACTGCGTATGGCCACAGGAAATGGGGGGCACGGGCGTGAGTCAAGGAGGTGCGGGCAATCTCCATGACCAGGCCTATGCGACGCTCAGCAACCCCATTCTGCTGTGGGGACTCCGGAAGCGTCCAGGACTGACGAATGCCCTGTTCGCGACAGAATCCAGCGAGAATGCCGGAGCGAAACTCGCCCCCGCGGTCGGAGTGGAGACAGCTGACACGACGACCACGAGTGTCCTGGGTGGTAAGCAACCACCTGATCAGCGTAGAAGTCACCTCAGACTTCCTCGCCAGGGGGAACACTGTGGTGTAGCGGGAGTAGTCGTCAACGACCACCAAAAAGAAACGCTCACGCTCAGGGCCAGGGCGAGGAGAGGGGCCCCAGACGTCCAAGTGCAGCGTCTCAAAAGGCTCGGTGGCCGGACGAAGGGAGGAGGAGTGAGGGGTGGCGCGCAGCCTACCCTCGACGCAAGGACCGCACGGTGGTGCAAGGGACGGCGGCAGCGACGGCAAGACACGCGGGAGACCTAAGACAAGACGCTGACGAGACATAGCGCGAAGACGAGGAGGAGAAGGGTGCCCCAGCCGGTGGTGCCACAAAACGGTGGGGTGGGCAAGCGACCGACAGGAGCACGACGCAGCGACCGGACTAGACGGAGGAACCTGACAAGACACAGCTACCTGGGGGGACGGAGCAACCTGGTGAGACATGAGGACTCGAACGGGGGGCAAAACAGGGGCCGGGGGCAGGAGGGGCGGCTGTGGCTGCGGCTGCGGCTGCTGCTGCTGCTGCTGCTGCTGCTGCGGCTGCTGCTGCTGCTGCAGTCGCTGCTGAGCGCGCGGGCCAGTGTGAAGAGTGTAGAGACCGGAGCCCGGCTCAGCAGCAAAAGTGGCGAGGGGCTGGTAAGAGTCCCCGTCAACACACACCGCAGTCTCTCCAGAAGGCTCAAACCACACACCCACGTGCTGACTCACGAGGGGTCGCACGCCCACCAAGTTCCGGGAGAACGAGGGGA